GCCTTACTACTAGTAACAAGAAGCTACCTAGTAACAAAGGGCATCGCTACTAGGAGTAAGGATGCTACTAGTAGCTCCTGGCCTTACTACTAGTGACAAGAAGCTACTAGTAACAAAGGGCATCGCTACTAGGAGCAAGGACGCCACCAGTAGCTCCTGGCCTTACTACTAGTAACAAAAAGCTAATTAGACTCCAACGGATGCGTCATTCTTCTTTCGACGGATGGGTCGGTATGATCAACAGTCCACTCAATCCTGCGATTTGAGTCTTTGTGTCCTGCGGTTTGCCCCCATTTGAAGAACTAGGCCTTTCCTCTTCCATACCGCTGTGAAGTTCATTCGCGAGGAGTGGTGAAGGGGTGAGTATCTTTTGGGGGTGGGTTGAAGCGCAACAATTTCGATCAGGCTCGAGGCCGAATCGGAATGCACACACCAGGTTTGAGGTGATGTTCCGCGGCAAAACCATGCTTTTGTTTGAACCCATTTGGAAGGAGAAGGGGGGGTCTATCTATTCGCTGTTGCAAGTTGCCTTCATGATTCGATTCGCTCACCTTTTTTCGAAAAACGCGAGGCGATGTCGCAACTTTGATTGCATACACCCGACACATCCCGACACAAGAAAGCCACAACAGCATACAACAAGCATGATCCTTGGCACAGCGAAAAGGCATTGCTACTAGTAACAAGTGCATCGCTACTAGCAACACCAAGGCCTAACACTTACTTTCAACAGTGTGTTGGACTGTGGGCGTTGCCCAAAACAGTTATAAGTTGTAAGGAGTTGAGTAGCTCCTCAGCTATGCCAGGAATGCTGGCCTGATAAAGGCTACACTCGTTGGGAGCCCAGCAGTCTTGAATCCAAGCTATAGATGAATCGTGGGATAGTTGTTTCTTCAAAATGTACCCTACCCTGCCCTGTTTTGTTTGCACAATGGCGTGTGTGGTGTGTGAGTATGTGTTTTATTTGGAGCTGATGCTGATGTGCAATTCAATATGATGATCCCCTCGGAGTCCTCATAGATATCACGCGTCAGCCGAAGAGGGCTCCAAGGCGCAGAAGATACCTTAAACAGTCCGGATACAGCGTATGCACGGCTTCTAGCACTGGACCAGCCCACGTGAAGGCCTGTATGTAGGTGTCCTGACGGACAAGTCAACTGAGTTCCCGTGTGTGTTTTTTTTTCTGAGGCTTGGTGCTGTATTTCGTTGGTTCATGTTGGTTCCTCATACACCATGGTGCTTCCATCACTGTCCTTCCTGAGGCGTCATTGTGGAGAAACCATTTGGTCGCGACCTGGCATCAGTCAGGAGCCCCAAAAAGCTTAACGGTCTTGACGAGGCTCCACTCCTGGCACCAGCCTAGTATCGTGGAGCAGGTTTGGTGTTGGTTGCACTTGAACTGCTACGGCGACATGCAGGAATGCTTTGTAGCCCTTAGCCCTGAAGGAACTTCCAACGTGGAGAGCACCCTGTGTTTCAAACGCAATGTTTCCTTTGACGGCGTTTGACCTCGATCTATGCCTTGGTGACCGAGGCCAGAGACTTGTCTAGCCAGGTGTCTGAATATTTGCAGGAGCTTCAAGCTGAGAGCTCGCAGCAGATCCACTGCCCAAGCGTAGACGGGCGCCTGTCACGTCAGAGTGCTAAACTTGTCACGTGACTACTGGGTAATCGCAAATTTGCCCTTGGGCCGCCAAGTGGTGCCCGTAGCGACAGTTTGTCCCAAAGGGTGGCAAGTGTTTGCTTCACATGCAGTTTAAGCATCTCAAGGGATCCTTTGCGTGTCCGTTGCCACACCGATTAAAGCTCCAACAGCTCCCGAGGTCACAGGTCTACCGTATCGACCACTACCTGGCGAAGAATATGGTTGACCTCTCAGACCGCTGACTCTTCTACATTGATCGACTAGGGGTGACGATCGGGTTTGTAGAGGTGTTTTGGAGGGATAGCGCCCGACATCCGGATCCTTTCGAAGATGTTCGATCATGGGCCAACATGCGTGCCAACGTTTGACAGGTAGTAGACAGGCAGCCTCAAAAAGACCCCATATGTGGGATCCACTCTTTGTCTCTGAAACCTTCTGAGTAGATCCTCCGCAGGACGAGCCAGACTGAGGTCCTCAACATTTTGGCCCTTCGCTTTGCCAATCGGGAGCTCGGTCGACTCTTTCACGTGGGCCTCTTAGATAATATGGATGTGGAGCCACTAACCCACTTGCCGCAAGTTGGAGGTTGAAATGTGTTGAAATTGTTCTGGCGGAGGTGGCAGCATGAAGTATTGTCCAAGATGTCCAAGGCTGTACTTCTTTCCGCATCTCAGGCTGATAATGTCTCTATCGTTCGGATCACCTTCAAGGAAGACATCAACGTGCTCTCCCTCAGTTGTGGAGAAAGCTCGTGCAACAAAAGAGGCGTAGTCTCAAAGCAGCAAAAGACCTGCAGCAGGCCAACAAGAATTTTGGAGGCTTGATTACGTGCGACTAAACTACTAAACCACTACATGGTGCAAGTTTCAACCTGCATTGCACCGACATGTTGCGACAGCTGCATGCACCTGTTTTGGGATAGATTTGTTAGAAGATACTGAATTCGCGTACATGTGTCGTTTTTGCTACGTAGAGTTTCAAGCTTTCCTGACAAGTCTTGGGGGCTTCATGCACTGGTCACTGCAATTGCGTATGCAATTCTGCCAGGTCGCTGGCAGAGCTGGATATTTCGATGGTGCGGCCTGTCATTGGAAGAACTTGTTTTCGTACGGTGGTCCTTTAAGGTCGGAAGTGAAGATGCCCTTGTTGCTAGTCGTCCTCTTCATGGGATTCTTTCGTTTAAATTCCGCCTCCCGAGTTACAGTAGTGTTTAGCTTTGCCAGGTTATGGCATTATTCGAGCACGGGACCCAGGGAGATATGAAAAGCTGCTTGTTTCAAGCCCGATAGAAAGCGAAGGGAAGGAGAAGTAGGAAACGGGCTGATGGCTAACAGTGATTGAATTCAGATCACATATTCAAACTGCCACTGTGTCACTTGCACTACCTGTTTGATATTTTTGCAACTAGCATTCTCCAGCTGTGATCTCGCCTGTGGCTTTGAAAGAAATGCCGAGATTGTTGTTTAGTTGTTTGGCCTTTGCAGGAAACTTGTCTCAAAACTTAGCCATGATGGCGCCATGAACGCAGGGCGGCAGGTGAGAAATGCACCCTGGCTGTTTAACATGGAGTTTGTTTTGGAGTATGTTCCAAATGAGTTACTCAGAAACATTATACGATTCCATCCTCAATCCTCCACGTCCGCCTCCGTTGCTGTGGCCATTCCCATGCACGCTGGCAGGTACACCAAGTTCGCTTATGTGCAGGCGCCAGCAGCAGGATCACCGGTACAAGGATCACCATGCAGCGTTCAGCAAGATCAAGGAGGTGCTGTGCCCAAATATCTGTTGGAACGAAGAGCCATGGTGCTGCCGTTAAGCTCCGCGATATACAATCATTGTAAAACAACAACGGCGGCTGAGACTTTTTGCGCGTGTCCAGAACCTGAAGGTTTCTATAAAGACACTACTGTACCCCATTGATCCCCATTGGCCCTGTTGGAGGTGATGAACTGAACAAAACAAACACCAACACGATGCAACGCGCGGAGAACGTTGGCTTGTCCTTTTCACAGCGGTAGACAAACACACTCCAAACGCCTTCTCACTTGATCCCATTGGTGTTCCCCCTTGGTTCGGTTTGAGACGGCGGCGGACGTCCACCAACGCCTAAACTCGCTGCATCAGGGGATGATATCCAAGCATCAGGTGATGAAGATTATCCAGCCTTTCCAACGTTGCAGCTTGGAGGTTTGATCCGCAAAGGCCTTCAAAGGGTCTTTGGCACATCACGTGATTCAGGTTGCCCAGTTGAAATACCAACACATCCAATACCATGGTTGAGACAGGATGGAGAAATTTCAATCAGGGCCTCATCACCTTGCAATCAAGTGATGGTCATGTCCTGGCAGTTGCTGCGTGTGAAAGACCAGTGAAACCAAACGTGGGCGCATGGTAACATGCTTATGAAGCCTAGGCCCAAAACATGCGTTTTTCTGAGGGGCAAACTCTGTTTGGACCCAAATGATCGGCCAGCGCGCTCTACATTCTCTAGTCCAGACTCTTTAGCAAGAATCCATCAGTGGACCAGCCAGGAAACAGAAGAAATATATTTTGGGATGTGCATGTGGCTGCTGCTGCTTGCTTCTTTCTCTCTCGCTGCTTCTGTTCATGGTCGGCTGGGGCTTGGTGTCGATGACAACCTGCAATCAAGAGCAAGACCCAAACTGGACACCCGTGCAGTTCCCCAGATACAACAGTTGTGGTGGCTGCAGAGGGGGCTACAAGACAGACGAGGAGCTGTCGGAGTGCGTGACACCTTGCTACAACTTGACTTTGGTGAAGAGCTGGGAGAGATTCAATGAAGAGAATGGCTTCAAGCTCGTTTACTTTTTGTCTCGACCTGGTCCTGGTGACAAGCCACCAGTAAATATAAGTGCGTGGTGGCTACCTGCCCCAGTCAAAGGAGGTAAACTCGCACCACGTGTAGTGGTGATGCATGGTCTTGCCAGCAACAACAATCACTGCGGCGCATTTGGGTTGCAACATTTGTAAACTTTCGTGTTTGATGGTTTGCACTAGGGGCACTTATACACATATATATATATATATATATCAAGAATGTGTTGTGTGAGATCCGTTGCATTATTTGTTTGAGATTTTCCATGCCCATGCACGTTTATGCCATGGCATTTTGGGGGTCCTCGTCTCTTTGCCAATTTGGGCAAGGTGCAGATGACTTGCTTTCATTTGCGGAGTTTGGGATATAGCTGCCTGACACCCTCCGCACGAGATTTTGGCTTGTCTGGGGCCTCAACTCATCCAGACATTGTGACCTGGGGCTTTGATCTGTGGAAGCAATTTGCGACAGAGCGAGAGAGAGAGAGAGAGAGAAAGTGTGGTTGGGGTGGGTGTGGGTGTGGTGGGTGTGTAGCGACTGTTGCAGGTGCCATGCAGGATGCCATGCACATGCATACTGTTGCTGCGTGCTGTGTTAATTGCTGTAGCCTTCAGGACCATTCAATGGAAGTGTCATAGAAATTGACATAGGGGTTGCTCGTAGCGGTGATTCACTTCACAAGGGCCGGGGCTGCTGAAGGTAAACATGTATCATTATAAATACCTTGGGGAAACCAACAAGACCATGCCGAGCCCTGCTGGTTGTTAGGACTACCATTTGGACCTGCTGGGGGCCTGGGACTATGCTGTTGAAGACCCCGATGGTGTTCTTGGTGGCGCGCTGCCGGATGAAAAGGTGGGCAATTCCTGAGTACTTGGCTGCCTGAACACTTTTTGGGACAGAAGGATTTGAGCATTCAAGGTCAAGTATTCTATTGCATAGGCATACGCTATCCTAGCAGCTATCGAGCCCTGATGCTTGATATGCCCCGCACAACTTCCCGGCGATGTGTTTTTAATTGAGTACTCCACACCGCCACCCATGCGTAGCCATGTGTCAGTCCCTTTGCAGGTGGGGCTCATGGGTTTCTCAAAGGGAGCCTATGCGGCTGGGATCGCCATGGGTTTGGAGCCACGAATCTCCTCCGCTTGGCTGGATTCAGCGCCCCTCCATGGATTGCATGGCAGACACCCAACTGAACATGGGTTGCTGGTGGACCAAAATCTCTAGAATATTCTAGAATGCCTTTGGGATGGTGAAGGCTAGAACACAAATCACCAGCTAGGCCACCCTGATCGTGCCTGAGGCATCATCGGTACAATACAGCCTTATGTGGGTCGCTTTTTGGCGCCCATTTTGGCCCTGCCAGTCTTTTGGGGCGCCCAGTTCTTCTCTGGAGCCTCGACCGATCAAGTGTGCCATATGCGGATGAGATACTTTTCATATCTTTTTATAATGTCATATTTAGCAGTTGAGAGCGCGTCCACACTGGAGTGGGACCAGTCTTTGGCGCCCAGGAAACACAGTTGATAGCTTCGATCTGCTGAAGCTACTGAGCCTCTTGGATCAGCAACTGCCTTTGGATCCGCAGCACCGTTTGGTTTGGCAACCCCCCCCAGCCAAGTTGCTTGAAAGATTTTCCAGTGGAGTCTTCTTTGATTGACTGTCATATTCACATCCCAAAAAAGGCACCCTTGGTCTCTGTAAAGGCACCCTTGTGTTCCATTTCATCTTAGCAAAGGGGCGTTGCGAGGCGAACAATGCCCTCGACAACGGCGCTTGATGCTATCTCAGCAGCTTGGCTTGAAGCGAGCCTGCTTGTGGGGGAAAGAATTGGCCCAGTAAAGACTTCCTTGTCAGAAACTGTAGTGTTGCCTACACAGTGAGCACCCGCATCATTCAGAAGCAACGCCTTTAGAAAGTCCTGTGTGTTCAGAGATGGCTGAGACGACGAGTCCTGCGCAGTGTTTTCGACCGCCAGGAGCAGCATTGACAATGTGGTGCCGATCGAAGAGACTGAGTTTGGGGCGACCGTTTTGTCAGGGACTGTGGAGGGGAGCTGTTGCTACCGTGGGAGATCCTGTGATCTTTGACTTGTTCACTCATAAAATCAGACTGTGGTTGTTACGTAGCATTCTTTTGGGCAGAGGACTTGATGTTTCTTCTCGCAGCCCTCCAATCAATATTTGCTATGGGACATCTTTGGCAAAAAATCAAATTGTTCTTGAAGTATCACAGCTACCCACGGCCGCGCATCCGAAAGGAACATATTTCGATGGCCGCTGGTCACTCCAAGTGGGGTCCATGGGTGGTCGCCAGGATGCTGAATTGCTACCTGGTCTTCGGCTACACACCGCCTGAGTACTGTAATGGAGCCCGACATCACCAGGCCTGGAGCATTATGGGTCATTATGGTGTTTGTCAACCACGTGCACCAAGGGTCGCACTATTTAAGGTCATGTTCTGCGATCTGACGCGCGCACCAAAGAATTCTTTGGTCATGCAGATTTGAGCCAATATTTGGGCATTGGTGTACATAGGGCGAAGGCTTTTAACGTCTTGGACAAACCCCATCAAAGTGATTGCTCCAGGCTCCAATCCCCCAGCCTTCCAGGAGATGTGGGAATTTCCCGACGACATGCGACAGGAGCTGTGCCGCTTTTGGAGCCGCAGCTGTGTTGCACATCAAAGGGACGGTCCAGGGGTGTTGTTTCCGTCGCGTTGATGCATGGAAGCGTTCATCTCAGGCCGATTCCGGAAGATCTCATGTTTATATGTTGTGCGTCCCCTAGTTACTGCATGTGACTGCATGGCCCACGACCCGCCACCGAGGTGCTTTCAAGGAGGAGGAGCGTTCGTGCCATTTGACCTCTTTGCCATCCTTTCAAATCTGGTCACCTTACAAAGATCTTCCTCCGGGAAGCCCTGAGTTGGTGTGAGCGCCATTTCCCCTAGAGCTTTCGGGCTTGACCAGGTGGGATGGTGTGCGAAATGTGGTGCAGACCCAGCGGTGGACTGCACAGACCAACCAAACCCTCGCTGAAAGGAAGGTCAGCATGACCCAGAATGAGCTTTGCCAAAAGGAAGGAAACCTCTTCCCAAGGCGGGTTAAATTCAGATAAATTCCATAGGTAGTCTTTCCAGGCAAGCAACATGCAGCTCTACTGGACATGTGTTTGGTAATGCCCAGTGTGTGTGTGTGTGTGTGTGTTGGGAGTTGATAGGTATTTCTGCATGCGTGGCTTTGCCTCCAACAACGACATGTAGATTTAAGTCGTCGTCCCTTTCTACAAGCCTTAGATTTCGACTGTGCCGCGGAAAAAATGTTCAGCTGCCTCGAACATAGCTGGCCAATGGCCCAAAACCTGTGAACAGGGCTGCCCCGGTGCTTGATTGAGCGAAACTGCAGCATCATGAGGGTTGGCAATGCCTAAAGTCTTACAACCTGCTTACATGGATATGAAAGAATGTCAGGCAATGCTAAAGAGATCAAAAGATTGAATTCATACAATAGTGGGCTTGTTTGGCATGAGAACAAATACCACAACTTGAGGTCAAAGCTTTGTTCGACCAGTTTTATGCTGCTTCTGTCCGTCTCCATGTAAAGTGCAGAGGCATGTTGTCCTTCAGTTCACCGTGTTAGGAGTGCAGAGACGGAAAGGTGCTAGCTAGCATGTGCCTAACAAAGTGCATTCCGGCAGAACGGTTGCCACGTGGTGCCTGGGCAACTCAAAATGCACTCAACTGCAGAAAGAACAAAGTCACCTGGCCGGTTAGGCTTTGGGGATTGCCCTTCTTGCCCACTTCTGTGACAAGACCTGCACGCAAAGCAGCAACGTTGGAAAGTCAGTAGCGTTGGAAATGAACAACCCACAGCATCCCACGGCAGCTTGCAGCCCCAAGGATGTCATGCAAAACCATCTTTTGCAGCTACTGACGCACAGTGCTCAGAGTGTGGCAAGAGCTCTTGATGCGAAAGCGGGCCGACGTTTGCTGGGTAGCTTTCGTAGGTGGCCGAGGATGGCAGACGAAGGGCACCTAGCTACAAAGCATACCTCCAGCCAAGCTCTGAATAAGTGTTCATCCTGAATTCCATCCGTGGTTCTTCTATGTGTTTGCTCTTGGCTCCCACAAACCCATCTCAGCAGGAAGCCAGCCACAGCGGCATCAGCCTGCGCTCTTTCAGCCCAGGCTGGTGCTGATGGAAGCACCGGAACGGGATCCTCAGCACGGACGAAAGTCGGAATGAAGGATCTTCATGCCCTGGACATCAGCAATTTCTGGGGAGCTGAGAATATAGGCTGAGTTCTTTTGGAACAAAGTACTTGTGAGGGGAACTTGCCTAGCTGAGCAAAGCTGGTTCCCTCAGACTACTGAAGCGGCCTAGTTTTCTGCAAGAGTGTGCAGTCTTTCGCATAAAAGGCGAGGTGTCTTAAGATGATGCCCCGTGTAACGTGGAGGTCATTGAAGCGGTGTGCTGGGATTGCTTGGCCCTTGATGGTTTTGTAGTTTTGTTCTTGGTTTGATTCAGATACTGTACCCCATGTCGTTCAAAGGCATAGGTCGCGAGGGAGGAGTGATGAGCTGACTCTTCAGTACCGTGAAGATAAGCCGAGGCTAGCCTGGACCCTGAAGATGTCAGAGATGAGAAGGTCAAGGCTAAGCATTGCATTGCGCACGACTACTTTGGTTGTTCTGAAGCGAGGGGAGCCTTTTGGAAATTGGACCACCGAGTTTGCACAAACTGCAGCGCCATCGAAAGACGATGAAAGATGAAGCGTTACTTCACCCTTTGCCTAGGGGCCTAGCCTCTGGCAGAAAAAGCATCGTGTTTGATCACGCAGCATGTTCTCTCTCAGAGTGCAGCATCAGTATGCGTCAGTTTGGAATTTGTGTGAATTCAGGAAATCTTATGACAGGTCTTGAAGCAGTTCCGTACAGTGAAGAGGGAGGAGTGTGTGGTTGGTCAATATAATGGCTACCAAGACGATCCAGCACGGAAGCCTTGCAGCGAGCCGGGTGATAGTGAAACATGTCTCCAATTGTAACAGCTTATGGTCATGCCTTTGCAGTGCCAGTGCACCACTGCCGGGAAGCAAGAAGTAGAGTTGGACTAGCATTGAATGATGCGGATCCCGAAACAATTACAGTTGTATGGAGAAGGGCCGCGGAAAATGCACAGGAAGCCGTTGTTTTGCCAAGGCCATCCAAGCCATTAATGAGAAGCAAGGCCGTGGGCGGCATTTTTGCCACTCAAGATAGATAATTAAATGATGTTTAATGATTGTGGAAAACCAGGGTGCCTTTTTTGGGGCTGGCCTGCCGATATGGACCGGCATAGGTGGTAACAACAGTTTCCCCCAAGATTGGGGGCGGTAATCTAAACTGCCTCAAGCCGCAGTGTCACCTCCCCCAACTTCCAAGCCGATTGGCCGATTGGTCACCGTTCTTTCAGAAATAGAGTTGACGGTTTCGCCTTCCCAGATACTCTGGCAAGTGCGACTCCAGCTGAAAGGATAGATTGTGTGTGTGTCCAGTAGTGGCAGCAGAAGAAGAACAGTTATAGTTATGTGTAAGTGCTAGTGTAACTGGCAGCTAGGTGCTCCGCATTCCATCCTGAAAAGTTGTGCCTGCAGGCTACAAGTCAAAATGCCCAACTTTCGCTGCATGTGTGAAGCTGGCGTTGTTTTCTGCTTTGATTTTCATGGTGTCTTGAAAAGCGGTGAAGTGTATTTCCTCCGCAGAATGCCACCAGGTTTTGCACTTGGACAATGAGAGGTGGCCGATGCCTGAAAGGACGACTGTCAGTTGGGCATGCCTTGGAAAGGTAGGGAAAGATCATGAAGGTCTTTTTTAACATATTTAAAAGACCTTAAGCCATGAAGAGAAAGGACGCTCGTCCACGGAGCCTTTGCCCACAGATGTTCTTGAAGCAAAAGACAAAAGGATCCGAGTCATGTGGCTTCTTGTAAGTGGCAAATTGCACGAAGTTATACTCAGTTAATTCTCAATTTCTGCACCCAAAGGGTCAACTACCTTACATTTACACCCCATGTGCGCTCCCAGGTCCAATGTGCCAATCATCATGAAAGCTGGAAAGAGCCTGGAGCGGCGATCTACTATCGTGTGCCCACCCCAGCTTGAAAGGCCAATGGTGGAAAATCAGATAAGTTCTGCTAGTCTTTTCCTGCTGATGTTGACGAGTTGAACTGAATCTTGGTTGTTGCGTGGCATCGTCCCAAACTGTTGAGCCTTCGGATTCAGAAAAATTGTCGAGATACATGGGCAGAAGCTATGTCCGAGGTGTGGTAGGCAGATCCCAGAGGAGCATTGCTAATAAGAAGATCCGTCTCAAACCTGTCCATAATAAGGTATTCTTGGGGCAGAGGTACCTTAACAGTGTCTCAGGGTTTGCCATGACTGTGGCCCCACGATCGTACTACTTCTTGGAGAAAGTGGAGAAGATTCTCAAGGCGGAGTTAAAGAGCAACTACTGCTCCTTGTATTTGAGCAGTGCAGATCTGGGGGCTTACAAAAAGGGATTCGGGAAGTGTCCCCCGGACGAGCGAGACGACGAAGTTCAGAAGATACAAACCGTGGAGCTGATCGTTGTTTGCAAGAACTCGCGAGATGCCCTTGGTGACAAGGGGTCAAGGATAAGGTTCATGCAGCACAAGATCAACGTTGCTTTCGGCTCCTTGTTCAAAGATTGTTTGGGTGATTGTGTTGTGGTGCTTTTGCCGCTGTCGTTATGACATTGAAGCCCCATTGGAGGCTTCGACGAATCATTTCTTCAGCTTTTTGTTGAAAGACGTGAACGTGAGTTTGTGCCTTCACTCCGAAAAGGCAAATGGAAAGGCAAGCTACGGGCAGAGATACTGACACAGACTGACACATGCAAGTTGTTGACTGCATTAGGTGAACGACTCACGACTCTTAGAAAAGAATCGAAAGAGAGATCGAAAGAGCTACCGTAAGATAGTTAAGCTGACTCGTGCAGACCGATCTTTGGCTGATCTCAGCTGGGCAGGAAAAGGCGGTGATTTCAGCGATGTCAGTGAAGACGAGGCAGAGGTGAGGGGGGCGATTGGGATTTGGGGCCCCGGCACTACCGCGGGGGTCCGAAATATTTGGGACAATCCAAATGGGACTGCTCAAAAGAACCGAGTGAAAACGAAAGAATTGGATGGGTTGGGTTGCAGTTCCCCAAAGACCAAGGGATGCCACACAGCTGAAAGCCATAGCACACCGAGCAAAGAAGTAGGCCAAGTGTTGACTTCAGCATTGCTTGTATACAAGATTTTACAAGCATGAAACACAAATGTCGCTAAGTCGGGCGCCTGTTCAGTCTCACATTCACATACATTCACATGAGCTTGAGTATCGGAAGGGTTTTGAACCTTGGCAGCCCTGGTGCCAGGTGCCAGCTCCGAAGCCCAAAGCAAAGCCAAAACCAAAACCAACCAGCCATGTGGAGCCAGATTTCAGCACCGAAGAGTGGAAGGAATGTGCAATCCGTGGCGCGCGGCTTCTTGGATCTTCTTGGCGGGTGCTTTTTGACAAACACGAAGGTCAAAGGACAAACACTAGCCGTTAGCCAGTGAAGAAAACCAATCTTGAATTGAATTTGTAAGATCGATGTGTCCTTTCGCGGTGCTCAAGCTACATGGATTGGGCCCCCAAACTTTTGGGGGTGTTGGTCTCCGGGGCTCAGTCCAACTGGTGGGGCATTGGCTGCCCGTCGCATTGCTCTGTGGCCGGGCTTCCTACTCTCATCGTCTCCTTTCTTCTTGGCCTGTGCCTCGGCATCCTCATCACCTTGGTTCTTTGTGTTTGGGGCCTTGGATTCTTGCCTGCACAGCCTTCCTGGTTGTCTGCTGTGCCTCACCAGGGTGCAGCTGGTCCTCCTGATCGGGCTCGTGCCTACGTGAATGAGCAGCCGCTCTTCCCCCTCAAGAGGGGAAGACGAGGAACTTACTGTAACTTGCCTCTGGAGCTCCAAGGGCTCCAGATCACCGTGCGTGGAAGCGCAGACAGAGCTGCTTCCTTTGTGCACCGACTGGCTCAAGAGACTTCACTTGGAGAACCAGCTCCTTCCAACCTGGGTGGCTACACTGGGCAATCTCGTGGCTCCATCCCTTCCAGTGGATAGAGCATTGCATCTTGGCAGGAGGTTGAACCCACTTCACCAACCCCGACGAGGGAGAGCCGGGATTCCATTGAGGCAACGCTTGCTCCTTGTCCTGGTCATTTTCGTTTACTGGCTTCATCCAGGAAAGGAGGTTGGTCACCAGAGCAGCGTGTTCAAAGAGCCTGGAAGGCTGCAAGCTGGGCAGGCGCTGTTAGGGCCGGCCGAGTTCAGAGCCCGAACAGGACTCCTACGATTGACTTGGGCAACCGCTTCTACGCAGTGGTCAGGGACCCCAACATTGCCTCGCCCAGAGTCTACAAGACCAGACACGATCTGCCACGGCTTTCCCTCCAAGGTTGAGACTGAGGTGTACCTTGCAGGAGCAGGATTCACATGGAGCTCACGGCTGCAGATCGGGTATTGGAGGAGGACGAAGGTTTTCCTCCCCTTCACTCGGACTTCGGGCCAGCCATTTTCGTGCCCTATGTGCTAGACCTGGCAGCTCTTGGATTTGGTTCAGCTCACGTCACACAGTGCATAGCCCTTTTGGTGTTGGCAAGGAGAGACGGTGTGCTGCTGGCCATGCCTGAATCAGCAATGCCAGTACTTCGAGACACAGCCGATCACACCTCGCTGGTGGGCCATTTGAAGGCAGAGTTTGGTGCTGCAGTGTTGAACTCGAAGCCAAGCTGGTGGACTTCAATTCAGATTTCTTGCAATGTATGAGGAGCGCGGAGGAGGCTTCAGAAATGATGGGGCTTCTTGCTTCTTGCCTTCGACTTCAGAGAGCCACTACTGATACCTTCTCCAGAGTCTTTGGTGGCAAAGGCTTTGAGTTGCGCCAGAGAAGAACTTGGAAGGCGGTTGAACCCACTTCTACTCTGCAGACGAGGTGCCGATGACACCAAGACCTATAGAGGAAGAGCTGGGATCACCTCCCCCGGGGCCAAGCAGTCGGCCAAGTGCCCGAAGAAAGGGCACAGCTCCTCGCGGTGGTGGAAAAGGCGGAGATCAGCCAGACCCTGCCGGCTCTTGTCAATCAAGTCCAGGAACTTGTGGGGTCGACAGCCAGAGCCTCAGCATTGAGAAAGCCCGTTGGCAGCTTGCCTATTGCTGGATCAGGATCAGTTGCTGTCCGAGATGCCCTGTCCGAAGTCTTTCCACGCCTATCAAGCCAAAGGTCACCTTTTCTCAGGCCGATACAGAGGAGATGCTTGTCGACCTGCCGGAGAACACACCAGATTTTGCTCGAGCTATGCTGGCCCAGTCTCAGGCCTTGACAGCATTGGTGGCCCAGATTGCAAACAACTCGGGCGACCCTTTCCACGACATGGGCCAGTCAGGAACCTCACTTTCGAGCAAGGGGCCGATGGGCCGGGAAAAAAACTTCAGGCGCTGCCCACAATGGCAAGGTCTTGCGGAGACCTATGGCATGCCTCCTGCGAAGCCCATGAAAGAGCAGGATGTCATTTCCGTGACCGTCGGCTTCAAGGGTCTTTTCCAGGGAGACTACCTGGGAGTTGAGTTTGCACTATAGAGAGCCACACAAACCTGCCCAAGAGGAGAGGACTGCTGGTTGAGTCTGATACCATCCTGGAGCACCATGTTTTCCCTCGTGGACCGTGGTGGCAGGGCTTATTACTTTGCTATCAGTCAAGAGCATGTCAACACCCCTTCATTGGAGCCGAGGTCATGTCTGATGGTCGAGCCCGGGCTTCTGGCCTAGTCCCCGTTTTTGCCCCTGTCAAAGAGGCCGACGGTGGCGCTATCACTTCGGGCAGCTTGCCTTCCAGTGATCTCCAGAACCCTAACTTCCCGACTTGCTGGCAACTGGGTATCTACCTTGATGTTATGCAGATGCCTGTGCTGCACTCTATATCACAGATCTTTGCGCTCAGCAACAAGAATGCCTCAGATGCTGATGAGGTTGTGACCCTGACGCGTAGAGCTGCAGATGAGCTTGTGCTTACTAGCGTGATCGGGCTTGCAGCCGCCACTGACATCTCCGTGCCTTATGACACCTACATCTATGCCACAGATGCCTCCAACACGAAGAGAGCTGTGACCAGCAAGAAAGTTGGGGCAGAGATCTCCGAGATTCTTTGGCTGGGAGGTGACAAGAGAGGCTCATACACTATGCTCGACGCACCTACGAGAGCAATGCTGAGATTGGTAGGTGAAGACTGTGATGCAACTCCGTTGCAGTCTGACGTCCTTGTTGGACCACCCAAAGTGATCCCCTTTGAGTCTTTGAGTTTGACTTCGTCGAGATCTTTGGTGGCTCTGGAGTTCTATCAAAAGCTGCAGCAGAGCTTGGGCTGATCACCTGCCCTCCCATCGATTTGTCCAGTCCCAAGCTTGTGGATTGGATCTTCCAAATGATCGCAGGGAAGAGATTCCACAGTTTGATTTTCGCCAGCTCGGCACCTGCCTCGAGATCGTACGCCGTACCACTTGGCTTCAACAGGCGGGGCCCGAAGACTTACCTGGGCAACTTCTTACCCTTCAGAAGCTTTGCCATCCTATGGTTTGCTTGGAGGTATATCACGTTTCAAAGATGGCTTGGTTGTCGGCTTGGAGCTTCCTTCTGAACTCCTGCGCCTTTGGTAGCCCTCACAAGAAACCATTCAGGCTACTTGGCTGGGGCCTGGACATGGAGATGCTAAAAGTCCCATGCCCTGGTGGGCACCAACATGTGCAGATTGCAGGGAAGCTGACAAAACCTAGTGCAGTTTATCAACCTGGAGTTGCTGAGATAGCTCAATGCTTTGCAGCTGCCTTGAGAGACGAAGGGCATGCACCACAACCACCGAGCACGTCCCTTGAGAGTGTCCTGATCAATGATCTATTGTTGTAGGGGGATTGGCACACCCTTGCAGACTGGTCTTGGTCAACAGCAGGGCACATCAACATTCTGGAGAGCAGAGCCTTTGATGCGCTTGAGAAGAGGCTTCTTGACCAAGGAGGTGATCGCAGATTTTTTGGCCTCCTGGACAGTCGTGCGGCAAAAGGGGCGCACGCAAAAGGCAGATCATCACCACATGCCTTACGGCCCTCGCTCTTCAGATCTTTGTGCCTATCAACTGGCAGGGAACCTTCACCCTGCCTATGGTTTTGCTCCTACCAGATTGAACACTGCTGACGCTCCATCTCGAGACAAAGATTTCCCAGAACCAGCTGGACATTCAGTGCTCTCTACTTTTTCTCCCGTGAAGATCGCTACCTTGCATTCTTTCTCATCAGTTCTCAAGGACTACGGCCAATGGACTCGGCTCTACCTTTTGGTCGTGCTATGTCTTTGCGCTGGTGCGACTGCCAGCTCTTTCGATCGCCCCTCATTTCCATCGCTCTTTGGATTGTGGACTTGTTCATTGGCTTTGATTTTGGCCCTGCTCATGCTCAGCTCCAGCCAACTGCCCCATTCCAGTCTTGGATTTTCCCATGATTTCTCTGATGCTTGGACTTCAGAAAGGGCTGTGTCTCGGAGACCCTGTGGTTTTCCCCAAATTGGTTTGGTGGTGCCCAATTCCATGTCGTAGCCATTTGGGGCGCACTCCGGTCGGCCGCTGCCATGCCACTACAGCCAAGCAACAAAGAAGAAACTGAGAGAGCGCAACGACGCTCAGGCAAGTCCTTCAAGCTGACAGGGTTGTTTTGCAGAGCACTTGCAACCGCCGGGACCGTTTGCTTTTGGCGTTTGATCGTTGGATTGTTGACAATTTGAGGACGACTTTGGGGGCCATGCTTGAGCCCCGTGCTTTGGACGCAGAGCTCATTTCAGATGCTCTAGTGGGACTCGGCCTACTGGGTTGTGGACGGGCCTTGCGAGCGCAACACGGCCCTCCCCCACTCTGGGGTTGGAGCCGCGAGGCATTGGGTGGACAGTGGTTTTTTCAGGATGGCCGAATTCTTTCCAGCCAAACGGGAGGACCTCATCCTCCCTATAGATGCTGCCCCAGGTGTGCTCCACGCCTTGCTCAAGATCCGCCTTGCCAAGACACGTGGGAGAGCTGCGAGACACCAATCCTCGCGAATAGACCCTGAGCACGTTGTTGCATTGGTTGACGCAGTGTTCGCTCACTTGTTGCCTTCCGAACCGTTGTGGAACAGATTGCCCTCAGCATTGCGGCAGAAGAGGTTTTCCACTCTACAGCTCGCGCTTGGCTAGGCAGGGCGACCTGCCATACTCCCTGTCGAGCTTCCGTCCAGGAGGCGCCACGTTCTGGCTGCAGAAAATGGAGGATGCTGAATACGTTCGGAGAAAAGGCCGTTGGCTGTCGACCAGAGTTCTAGAAGTGTCCTTGCAGGAGAGTGTTTTGCAACTTACACCAGAAGACGACTGTTGAGAGCCAGAGCCGAGTGAACCACCTCTCTGCTCAAACTCATCGCTATGAAACAAGCCTTCATTCCAGAGAGCGCCTGGCTCCGGCTTTGGTGATGTGGGCTGATGGGAGTTGTGGCCAGTTGTTGAGCAGGTCGTAGAGACCATGCAACAGAGCACCATCCAGCAGGAAAGAAAAGGGTCGCTGAGATCTTGAATTTGTAAGATCGATGTGTCCTTTCGCGGTTCTCAAGCTCCCTCCCTTGGAACTTGTTCCCCGCCCTGGTGACACACCGCCGGGGCTAGTTGTTGAGCAGGTCGTAAAGACCATGCAACAGAGCACCATCCAGCAGGAAAGAAAAGGGGCGCTGAGATCTTATATGAGAAGAGGCGACTATTCCTATTGGTGGTTTTACATGAGGCTCGTGCCTTTGACGTCCCATTGGGTTTGTTCAGCAACGCGTTGCTGTAGCCATTTTTGTGTCCAGGCTATGGAGGACGTTGCCGTCATCTCGCTCCAACGATGCCATTGACACAGTCCTTCAGCCGCTCCGGGATCGCGCGATGTACGCCATGCGTTTGTGGCGCGAGTACAACCTCAGGAAGGCCCCACGACCCATGAGGAGCCGCGAGTCGGAGACAAAGCGGGACCCGCCGTGGGAGGAGACCTGGGGCGTGCCTGACCAAAGCTGGGATGGCGGTGTCGGCGTGTCCGATTGGGGTGATGATAACTTTGGAGACAGTTGGGCGGCTCCTGATCCAGCACAGAGTGGTCCAGCTGCACGGCCGACGACAAGTAAGGCTCCGCATGGGGCAACAAAAAAGAACATGTTCAATTTCTTCCTCCAAACACAAGTGCTTGGGTTTCTTGAGCCGAAATGTGTGCACACTCCATGACCTCAACCCTTGAGGACTTTGTGGTCAAAGACTTTGCCGACGATTCAGATGTTCATCTCAATCTGGACGCGGGCAGCCTGGCCTTTCCCCAATGTAACCCTCACCTTTAATAAAGTGTGTGTTTCCTTTTGCCCACGTGCATTTCGCCAACTTTCCTCAAACATGAACCCTCGGCCGCCCCCGGAAGCCTGTAGAGGGTGACCAATCCTTGCTCACAGAGAGCCAAGAGAATTCTGCGACACGTCATGTTTCTTGGAAAAGTGCCCAGTCAAGAAGTTTTCTGGAACATGCCGAAACCCTCCAACAAAATACTGCCGAAACCCTAAAACTTGCTCAATTCCTTGCCTTCGTGCCCTGAGGCACGGCAACCTGCGCTGAAGCGTTGCAGTGTCTTCAAGAAGTCCGGACCTTTGGAAAGAACGTGAGCCCCAAATTGGTGCAACTTGGCATTGGAGAAGGAGCGAGTCGAGGGCCGCAAGTGTTTGATGAACATCTGCCGATGTTTCGGCAAGTGTCAAATTTTCTTTGGGCATCTTGGGGTTGGAGGCCATCGCTATTAGGCTTATTCGGTGGGAGGCCATCGCCTGAAACCTCCATTCAGGCTCCTCCCGAGCGGAAAAGAGCTGCACTCCGGGTACCGCCTCTCTGAGATCCCGCAAGGAGCCACTGGGACATGGAAACGCCCTCCATTGTTTCGAGGAAAGAACGATGAGGGCTTGAACATGCTTGAAAAATCAAATTAGCAACAAGGACTTGCCTGGCTTGCATGATAAAATTTGATTATATACCTGGTTGTTCAATTTCTTGCCCCGAATCCAAGGAAACATTAAAATTTATGGCTATCACGGAGCGACGTTGACATACGTTGGCATCCCTTTCATCTACATGATGACTGCATCGAGCTCTGAACGTGCTGCGGCAAAGCCGCTGCTGTTTGATGGTATCTCATGGTTTGACCGGGAAAAAGGGCGATTTGCCAAAACCTAGGACTGCAAAAAGCTATGAGCTGTGAGCGTTTTTGACCCTAGAAGAACCAAAAAGTGTCCCTTTGAGGTTGAACGTTCTCAGCACTGAGGCGCTTGCAATTCAAAAAGGCTCCGCCCAACAGCCTTTTTGGGGTCAGCACCTCAGGTCATTTGGGCTTAGTGGGCCAAAGTACTGAGTCGCTCGGCATTGAGTCGCTTTGCCGCCTACGTACTGCTAGCTTGCTTGCATGGCCCCCGAAGACAGACATGAATTCGCCGGCCGAAGCGATGCGCACGTTCTGACCTCTAAAACCGAGCAGACGCTGTTGCATGAGGATCAGCCGCAGAACGAGCTGGTGATTAGAATTCAGCCAGATGAGGCCATTTACTACAGGAGCTGCCAATCCTTTTCACTGCCACTCCCCACGTGCAATAGCAAGTTTATGGATGATCGACGTGATGACTTAGAAGCGGGGAGCATCTTGCAGATGAACAGCTGCACTGAATTGGCTGTTCTTTCTACACTGTTCAGTGGCGAGCGCGTGACTAGGAGTCACCGATTCGCAATGACTCAGAGCCTGGCGCAGGCGGTGAAACGAGTCACGCCGCAACTGGGTGAAACGAGTTTGTGCCGCAGGATCTTAGCGAAGACTCCCGGCCTCAGCGCCAGAGCCCATGAGGTGCAACGCGGGGAACCCAATGCGAAGGATCTTCTGGCAGTGAAGCCACGTTTGCCAGACAGACATGAAGGGAGTTGGAGCAAGAAGTGGCCACGAACCCTCATCGTTTTTCCATGTCTAGGGTAGGGTGGCCTAGGGCATATGCTGTTCTTGAGCTAGAATCTATAGTCACGAAGGGGACCACCTTTCGCACACATTAGGCAATGAGGACAATGCTTTGCAAGTTTGCGGTTTTGCTGCACGTCGGCTCAAACATGGCATTAGCCCGATTTTGACTTAAGACGCTTGCATCTTTGCCCCTTGCCGGCACAGCAGGTCACCAATTTTGTGCATGTGCTATTCTATTTCCATGAACTCTTGCCCTCTCCCTGACAATGGCTGAACCGTGCCATCTTCATTCATTCAGCAGAAGTTGGACAAACCGAGAACCCCGAGACTTCCAATACAGGACTTCCCGCTCGTGTAGAACTCCCTCTCTTTGAGGCATGTCTGGTGGAAACAATCATCGTCATGGTATGTCATGGTTGCTATCTTAAGCAATATGTTACTGATTACTGATTGTTACTGTATACCTTGACCCTTGTGTGGCCAAATTGTATTGGCCACTGACGAGTTAGGGTTTGCAACACGACAGTGCAATTTCCATATCATGTGTCAGAATTGCGTGTGCACGTGTTTGCGCACGACCCTCATTTCATCAGCAAAATCAAGCCAGTTGAGGCTAGCTGAGCTTCTTTTTGTCCTTGGCTGTGTTCTATGGGGGTAACATGGAGATTGCACTGTGACACGAAAGACCTCCGCCCCTTTCAGATGATGTAGGTAAGTAAAACATGGCCAACTGATCCAAAACTCCTGCTCAGATCTCGGGTGGCCGCCGTCATTGTCATGCAGCCTGTGACGTGGCTACAAGTGATACACTGCCACTGAAGGGTGTAAACCGCTGTGGCCCAATGAAGTGTCGACAACAAGGTATTCAACTAGCGGGCTATGTTTAATAGTCCTCCCTGCCATGTTTGAGACTCCTGCCTTGCCAAAGCAAGTCAGGCTTCCTTTGGGCCGAGCATCCCAACAAGAACGACAGTCAACTGACAAATTGAAAAAGTTCACAGATTGAGGGATTCCTGGATCACCACTTCCTGCAATCTAAATTCAGTATTCAACAGCAGTTGGGAGTGGGTCGAGTGGCAATGCGACAGAAAACTCCTACTTTGCACGTTTCTATGTTTGCTTCTGGGTAGGGCACCCTCCGAACCACGGGCCTTTGCCGCGGCATCCTTAAGGACCGCGCGGCGTTGGCGCAGAGGATTCAGGGCTTCGGCAATGTGAACCCGCCGCCCTTGGAAGACGAGAACGCCAGCATGGAGCTCAGGAGACAAGGGCCTGAGGCGCTGGGGATCGATTTTAAAAACCAGGTTAGGGACCATACCTGAGGATGTGCAGCATCATGCTACAGCTTTTGCATCCCGCATCGCTTCTCCTCAATAATGATCAAACTCACAGGCTCAACGGGGCGACTGTTGCTTCCCAGAAGAAATGAAAAACTGGCCAGCAAAATATCTTAGGCTGTGAAGAAGGCAAGCTCCAAGCTCCAAAACAACTGGTGGTGAACCCACTTTTTCACTCACTGTGCTTTGGCATACGTTGCAAACCCCAGACTGTCAAGGTTGGTGGACATTCTCGACGCAGGTTGCATGCTTGTTGTTGCAGCGAAGTAAAGTTAAAGAGCGCGTCCTTTAAACGCTTTAAAGGTTTTGACGGGCAGCTGCACATTCCATTCTGGAAGGAATTGCAGCTCGCAAGCCTTGAGCCATCAGTGTTATCATGGAACCGCCTGTCATCCCAGCACAAAATATTCGAGCTGAGGCTCGGTGGCGAAGAGAGCCGTGAGAAACTTGGGCGACATGGTCGGTGAAGAAGTGGCACTGACTGTGCAGGCCACCAAAGTGGCACAAAGACTCTGCGGTGCATGTGACTGTGCCTAGCGGCCAATTCCCCCATGATCAACAGTGTTATCTCCTGAAAAAGTTCGACGATGAGGGGCGCATATTCAACCTATGGAAGCTCTCTCTCTCTCTCTCTTTCTCTCTTGTTCGTCATTGGGCTTCAGACTCGTATTTTCCGGGCCTGTGCCTTTGGGGACGGTTCTTGTGCCTTCATCAATTTAATGTGTTTGTGTTTGACTTCTTGACATTTGGAAGCGTATCTGTGTGCAGTGTTTGTGGTCAACATCTACAGTAGTAACTAGTGCCAGATGCCCCTGCAAAGGAAGTATGTACGGACCGCCCCACGCAAACTAGGGACTAACCACTTGAGGATTAGGATGTGTTTTCAGGGTGTGTTTGCACGAGGTACACCGGTGGAGTCCTGTGGTGTGAAATCCTTGAGTCCTGTGGTCCGCAACACTCCGGGAACATCCAAACCACTGACCACCACATTTCCATGCAGTTTGTTCTTCCTATCTGCGTCAGCAATTGCAGCCTGCGAGCAGACAATCGCTCGTACGCCCCTGCTGGGACTTAGTGGGTCCGCTTAGCCTCATAATTCTGCAGCATGCCCATGCAGGACTTCAAGGAGAAGGGTGCTGTTGGAGCAGTCAAAGATGCCGTGGCAGATGCTTCTTGGTGATTTTACTGTGGATTGAATTGGGCAAAGTCACTTTGCATCAGCACGAAGACATCGCGCGAAACGGTTTCTGGGTTGTTCATGAAGATTGCGTCCGAAGTAGTGAGAGAGGTCACCCTTGTTTTGCTGTGGTTGTACTCCTCAACCTGGAGCGGGATTAAAGCTGTACACCAGGACTGCCGTTTACCCTCCGGACCATGTAAATAGATTGATTTTTTGAGCTCAGGCGGGTGATATTCTCATTGACGGGGATGCTTGGCAAGCAAGATCGCAGCATTGAGGCACTGAGGCTGGAAGAAAAGATGTGCCCACTCCCAACCTGCTAGCGATGGCCCGCAACCTACTAGCGATGGCCTCAAACGGCCTCCAACCTAATATCGATGGCCTCCAACCTACTAGCGATGGCCTCCAACCTAATAGCGATGGCCTCCAACCTGATAGCGATGGCCTCCAACCTGATAGCGATGGCCTCCAACCTAACAGCGATGGCCTCCAACCTACTGTAGTAGCGATGGCCTCCAACCTAATAGCGATGGCCTCCAACCTAATAGCGGTGTCCTTCAACCTAATAGCGATTGCCTCCAACGTAGTAGCGATGGCTTCCAACCTAATAGCGATGCCCTCCAACATACTGGCGATGGCCTCCAACCTAGCAGTGATGGCCTCCAACCTAGTAGCGATGGCCTCCAACCTAATGGCCTCCAACATACTAGCGATGGCCTCCAACCTGGCAGCGCGATGGCCTCCAACGTAGTAGCACTGGCCTCCGACCTAGTAGCGATGGCCTTCAACCTAGTAGCGGTGGCCTCCAACCTAATAGCGATGGCCTCCAACATACCAGCGATGGCCTCCAACCCAGTAGCGATGGCCTCCAACCTAGTAGCAATGGCCTCCAACCCAGTAGCGATGGCCTCTAACCTAGTAGCGATGGCCTCCAACCTAGTAGCGATGGCCTCCAACCTAATAGCAGTGGCCTCCAACCTAGTAGCGATGGCCTCCAACCAGTAGCCATGGCCTCCAACCTCGTAGCGATGGCCTCCAACCTAGCAGCAATGGCCTCCAACCTAGTAGCAATGGCCTCCAACCTAGTAGTAGCGAT